CATGCAAAATAGACCAGTTTGCTTACACAGATTACATTGCTTTAGATCAATAATGCATTGTAAATACCACTGGCAATTAGTAGAACTAATCATTTGTCTTTGTCATAACGATGTACTGAATTTCGTATTAACTAAAAAAAAAGATTATATACAGGGAACCTACAGACTCAGGTCTGAATCATGAATGCACATACACTGGCATAAAGCTGGAACAACGCAGCTACGACTCATGCCCAAGCTGTTGTGATTAGGTTGGTTTTTCTCAAGCTTCTATCATTTCACACAGCAAAACATTTATCTCTTTTCTCTTACATCTTTGGATGAAGGCAATGAAGTCCAGGAGGTCAGGAAACAAAAGGATGTTAATAAGGCAGGTTTCTAGCCTGCAGTGACTGCAGAAAAAGTTTTCTACTGACCGTGGCAGCAAATCAGATGAAACACCATCCTGTCACCCCATTACTTTTCCCCTATTAAGCAATGAGTGTAATTTCTGATCTTTCTTACATTGGTTTTACACTGAGGTAATTTCACTGAACTCAGTCAGTTTATCCATTTGAAAGTAGAATCCAGCTCTCTAATGGAAGCAAAAGGGAAGCTGACTAGTTTCCATAAAAAAGGATGCCTAAATAAAAAGAGTTTTTCCTATTTTTTCAGAGTGAAACTTGACTTTTGCTGTTACAAAACTGTCCTCATGTTCTCTAGATTTGTTGGGAGGTGACTTCACAATCAGTCTCTGTTCTTTCTGATTTGATCTGAACAGAATTGAGGGGCAGGTGGAGAATAAAAGGAACAGGAGACAAATTTTGAAAACAAAGTTAGTAAGTTATAATTTCTGCCGCCCTTCAAAAGTGAACGGGACATACTGAAGCCACCCTAAATACACAAATCCTCATGCCATGTCACTGAAGTCATTGAGTTTTCAATGTGTACTGCTCTGGGGCAATCCATGAATGGACCCGAACTGGGGCTCCATCCTGTCTTGCAGAGCATATTGAAATGTTTCCTTTTGTTCTGAACCGCAGTTAAACCAGATTATGAAATAGTGAAATCCTCTGCAAAGTGGAAACAGCTTTCTCTATTCATCTCTAATAAAAATCACTGGCTTGACTGGCATAAGCACTGACAAGATGTCACTAGGTCACCTCCTGTCATTAGGAGGTGACTGAATGACACACAGAGCATGCTGGAAGCCTGTCATTTAGGCAGGCATCATCATGCAGCAGCAGAATCACAAGAACACGCAAGGGCCTATTGTGGGACAAAGGGTAGCCCTGGCTATAGTGAGGTAGGGAGATGCTCCTAAGTGAGCAGATGGAGACCACCAGGAGCTGCGTTGTGGTGTCTTGGTGACCGCATGCCCCAGGAACGCCTCTTTTTTAGTCCTTACAAGACCTGCCCTGGAACGCATTTTGTCATTTTTACTTCCCTGCTGTGGACCCAGTGCTGTGGAGTCCCAGGCTCATTTGGAGTCCACGGTAGGAATGGAGGGGTTGTCAGGTACAGGTGAGGTGGGGTGGACTAACCCTGCTCGTGGGTTAGGCCCCCAGCCACTACAAGCAGGGATCACTCAGCCCCCGCCTTCCCCTCCGCAGCACCTGGAAACCCCTTCACCTCCACCTCTGCCCAACTGAGCAGCACTGAGTTCATAGCAGGGAAGTGAAGCTGACTCAATGCTTTCTAGATTGGGTCTTGTAATAACAAAGAAGCAGATTTCTTGGGGAGCCCAAGAGACCCACCAATCACCACAAATAGGCATGCGCAGTTTCCCCCCAGCACCTGGATCCCCCCACCTCAAATGAGTCTAGGACTCTGCTGGGTGGGGTCCATTTCTTGTGATGTGGGCCAGGCTGTTTCCATGACATGCACCCTCAGTCAACCACAGAGATTTTGGTAAAGTGTAACAGTATTTTTAATTAAACTTGATCAGTCTTTTTTAACTCAATGTTTTTGAGCAGGGAAAGCAGAAAACTGCAATTGTAGGCAGTGACATCTTCCTTTTCTTTGGTGTCCAGCCAGTCTGGGTCTTCCTCTCCCTGTAGGTGAATATGGGGGAAGCTCCCTGCCCTGACCCTGGCCTGTCACCTCCTGGTGACATTTTGGTCTCTCTGAAATGCCTGAGAGATGACATCAGTTCTGTTTGAACCCTTAGAAGGTTTGGACGCTTCTGTCTGGGGACAATTATGAATCAATTCCCAATCAGTGACATTCTTGGAATGGTTCCAGTCTTATGTCTGTCCTCACATGCAGGGTTCTTAGTGCTGCACTAAGCTCAGCTGCTCTGTTAATTGCCTCACCATATATCGTGAGAGAACGTGTTTGCCTTTTTCTGTCCCTGCATGGAAGTGCTCTTAGTTGAGACATACAGTATAAAAAAATACATCAAGCTTGCCATAAAACATGCTTGTGTTTGGAGCCTCTTTTGCCATTGATAAGAGGTATGATCCAGCTCAGAACCATGACCTGTTTCAGTAGTTGGCATTAATGCAACTCTCATCCTGACAACATCAAGCAAATGCAAGGCATGAGACCCAATAAACAGCATGTTGGAAGTGGATGCTTACCCTAAGGATGTAGCAGAGTACTTTGCTGTGAAGCTCGCATAGTCGTCTTGCAGATTTCATCACTACAGCACTGGCTTTCCAACAACAAAGCAATTTTCAAAAGCTGTGGAGTCCTCCTTAATTTGAGGCATGATTATTATTAATTGAAAACTGATCCCTCAGTTCTCATCAGCAGTTTCAGATCAGGACCACAAGCACAGAGTGATGAGACTGCATCAGTGTGCAGACCTGGGATGACCAGCAGTGACTCAAGAATTTTCCACAAGGAAAAGACTTTCATGAGCTGGCCCTTTAGTTTAAGGACACAACATTGGGGCCAGCAGGGCCATAGCCATAGGCTTTTGCTATGTAGAAGCTGGGCACCTGAAACTGTAACAGGTTGGCAGATAATAATGATAGTACTGTGATGATGGAGCTTACAGGACAATTTCTGCTGTAGTTTACCCATAGATGGTGAAGATTGCTAATGTCCCCAAAATAATATCTGCCTTTGAATAAATGGGGTTGTTGAACTATGTTGGAGCCATCCTTGTCACACATGTGCCCATTGACTGCCCCTTCTATGCAAGGTGCAGGTGACTCCATCATTCAGAAAGGATAATTCTTGTTTGTCTAGCCTTGGTTGACTGTGTGTTTTTTAAAAGATAATAGTTTTTAAATGGGAATTGTAAATGACAGATTTGTATCTATAAAATGATAGGTACTTTCTGTTGCAGAAGAAAGGAACTTGTAAAAGAGTAGGAGAGGATGGTCCTGGGGAAACTGTGGGAAGACATTAGAGGACTGTCAGTCCCTGAGTTAAGTAGTTTGCGTCCACAATGCAAAATGGGTGGGTTAAATCAGAACCTGGACTCTACAGGCATATTTGTGCTGCTACTTTTTGCTGCTGCTCATGCCCCTGTAGTGAGGGGCAAAACACCCCATTTCAGGGAAACTGCCATTTCCCTGCTCCTTCTGGCTCCTGGTATGCCGGAGGAGCAGTAGCCAGAGTGTCTTCTAGGAGGACTGAGCTTCTGTGCCTGCTGGCACACACTCCTGAAGCATGCACTGTGTTGCTTTTATTTCCATGCCTTTTTTGCTACTGGGATTTTCTGGTAGCAGATTTTGCCCCTGCATCCCAGACATGTGGTTTGTGATGCCACAAAGAGGTTTGCAGTGCCACAAACTACACGTGCCTGCACACATGGATTCAGCCTATGTGATCTCCCCAGCAGGCCAGCCAGCCTGAGTGCAAAGCACCTCCTTGGCTAGAAATGTTTATGCCCAGAGAGTAGAATGGTCATGGGAAAGAGTAAAGCTCAGATGTAAGCCTAGTGAAAACCAACCTGTCCTTTAGTAGACAACACATGCAGATAACCCACATAGGGTAGCACCACAAGTAAGAAAAGCAAAAAAAGAACATAGTTTCTTTTTTATCCATGTAGATGTGTCTTATGCACTTTGGAGCACTCACAGTGTATTCAAGCACATCCAACATCTGTAGCAGCTGCTGTGTCACTAAAGAGAAGCAGTAGTACTTCAGAGAGCAGAGCTGCAGAGAGCAGGGATGAGATGGCAGCTGTATCTGTTAGGCATGCTGTGCCGGCTGCCGCAGCTGCTGCTCTCTGTCTGTTTATTAGATCCTGAACTCCACCCCTGGAGAGCACCCTGTATCTCTGTGGTCCTCCTCCTTCCTCTTGAACCAAACTAAGAATAAAATATATATGCGCTTTTCTTTTGCTAAGGGAGATTTTTAAATTTTTACTATTTTTGGATATACAACTAAAAGCTGCTTCTTAGTTGCTTATGGCTTCTTGCCTTCAATTTTTTATTAGATTAGATTAGGTAGCACTTAATGTGATTTGCCAGCCATACCAGCCTTTTCCCTCTGCACAGTGGTTGAATCCTGTGTGTCACAAGACTGAGAACCTAAATGGAAGGAAACAATGCAGCCTACTGGATGTCTGATTGGGACACTAGAGTGGGTTAATAAAATTAGACTTGTCGATCTCACTTGATCTTCCCTACTTTTGCCTTATTGTCTGCATCAGAGACTATGCTAAAGGTTGACCACAATCTGCAGCTGTCCAAAAATAACAATAAATGTAATATACAGCAAATGAATTATCTTATTTTTTTATCCCAGAATTTCTAAATATCTGGGAGTGGGGCCAATTTTCATTTTCAGATTCATGGACAGGGTTGCAGTGGCCAATAAAACCAAGAACAGAAAAAGTTACTGCAAAACTAAAATGCCAAAGTAAATGAGGTGCAAAAAGAAGAAATAAAAGAAATAAAAGAGAAAAACCTGACCTGAAGAAAATATTTTACAAGGTAAACCAGCCAGCATTACTGGTGCCACAGGGAGTTGCCATAGTTCAAACTGTAACAGTATACTTTGGCTTACAAACATGTGGACTATTTATGGATCACAGGAGCATTAAAGCTGCACAAAATAAATCAATATTCGGGTAGCTTTATTAAGTATTCTGTTTTCACTAGAAAGGCATATTCTGATTCAGATTCATTCAGAGAAAGTCTCTCAGGCTTTACCAAAGGCACAAAATACAGCAATTATATTACCCAAGTGATAGAGCTGCCATCACTTCCCTTGGGAGCCTATTTCACAGTCTGATAGATTGTACTGCATGGAAAATCAGCCTAAGTAGTTATCTGGATATTCAGCCTAGATTTTCCTTTCACCACTTTCATGGAGGCATAAGATTCTCACAGCCACTGATGCAGCAGTACATGCTCTTGCCATCTCCTTTTGACTCATTAATTGTTTCTTTGCTGGTTTTGGTGTTTGTTTATTTTGGGAGGATCTTCAGGCAAAATCTACAAGGAGACTTAGATATTGCAGTACCTACCTGTCAGGTGTCCTGCCTGACATTTAGTGAGGCCCTTAGATCCAAGTTAGGCACACAGGCTCCCCATAAAGTGCATGGAGTCAGGAAGTGCTCAGCAGCAGGATTCACAGACTCAGAGATCACATAAGCAAGCTCAGATGAAAAACTAACAAGAGGACCAAGACCTCAGCCACTGCTAGCAGTTAGGCAGATAACTCTCCATGGGATTCTCAGTTGTAAATCCCATCCTGGATTTTGTTCCCAGAACCAGGTCAGTTCTTTCTCCTGAAAACCTAAGATGAGAGCAATCCCTTTACAACTCTTGGGACATTTCATCCTTAACCCATACCAAAGTCTGCTAGTCTCATGTTCAGTGATCAAGACAAAAAGATGTGAGAAGTTTTATATGATTTTTTTAATAGCCTTTGAAATATCCCTTTGGTATTTGAAGTGAACTCATTCCCCATCATTGGAGTCATACTTGTTCACATCTGCAGTTTTGTGATGACACCAGTCACCTTGTGTATTTTCTATGCTGAACAACTTTTTGCTTTACAGATCCTTGTGATCTGCTAGTAAACTTCACTTGATGCAGAGACTTTCATGAAGCTCAGGGATGTGTTAGTGCATTCTGCCTCTTAGCAAAGCTGAAATGTAACGGGAAATAGAAGTGAGAAGCCATGTATAATTCAACTTGTCTAACAAACAGAAATATGTGCAAACTGGATGGGACAATTTTACACAACTGTACTTGTATGCAAGTTGCATAATGCCCACTGCAAAGCAAGTGACCCACTGCCTATGACTTGATCATTATGCTGAAGTCAAAGGTAGTGGGGGGTAACCATATGCACTGCTTTAACAGGGTGTGAGAAATAAAGTCAATGAACACAGATGTTTCTCTCATTTCTTGTTGACAAATTATTCTTTTCCTTTTTAGAAAGCTATACATTGTTTTGTAGTTGGGCTTTTGTTTCAAGTGCAGTTCAGCCTTGGGCTTTGTTTGCTTGTTTGTTTCCTCTCCTGCTCCTTTATTTGTTTTCCCAGTTTCCTCTGTCTGCTCCTTGAGTGACTAAAACTGTCTGTGTTGTTTCCTTTGTCTCTGTTGCTTCCCTTGGTCCCTCTGCGTGATGTGGCATGTGTTAATGTTATGTAATGTAGTTAGGTGATTGTATTTATCTACATAGTTAGCATGCAAACCAGTACAATGGATTGTGTTTAGAGATAAAGGCATGTGAAGAATTCTTGCAAGGTTATTTCTCTAGGATTTTGAGAAAAATGTAATTTACTTCTATTGAAAATTACCTTGGTTTTGTTTTTATCTTACAGAAATACTTACAAAGCAACAAGTGTGTGGGGACACATGAGCACTTGTGTGCTTGTTTGAATGAGAGCGGGAAAAACTGTTTTACTCAGCACACCTGAAGTAATTTCTGATGGATCAGTCCTATTCTGAAAAAAATATAAGTAGTAGTCATATTTACTCCATGACTTCTCTTCTTTGAACCAGAGACCTATTTCCCTACCTTCACCATAACTTTTTATTTTTGTTATTTGTGGTGAGTGTTTTTTTTAAATTTTGTTATAAGTAGCTGTGTCTACATGTGCACTTAACTGTGGAGTAGACTAATTACCTGTGGAGTAAAGCATCACCATCTATGTGTGTGACAGTATTAGCCTACAATAAACTAATTAACACTAATACTGTCAGGACAATACTGTCTTATGGCAGGCTAATTAACTTCAGTTAAATGCTGTGTGTAGACGCTGACCACGGATATAAATTATGCACTATCAGTATATATAGGTGGTGGAAGGCTGGGGCTAATGGGGCTTAGCCCCCGCAAACGCGGGGCAGCAGTGGCAGTGGGTGGGGCTGTAGGGCAACCCTGGGTGCAGCACTGTCAAGGACAGCAGGTAAGTCTGTCATGGGGAAGTGGTGTGGGGGGGTAGATCAAGGCCCCCATAGTGAGGGAGGAGTGGGGCAGAGGAAAGGGCAGGGACTGGGGTGAATGGGTCCCGGGGCTGGGGTGGGACATTTGGAGCCTGGGCAACTTGTCCAGGGGTGCAAGGGGGGTCCCGCCACAGTGTGCACCCCGGGGGAGGCCTGGGGGACACATGCCTCCTGGATCTGTGCACAGGGCAGAAGCAGGCTGCCACTGTGAGATGGACGCTGTGCCCCTTGCTGCTGCCCCAGAGCAGCACAATGCCATGTGCCTGCTGAGCCCGGCATGTGTACAGCAGCAGAAGTCCCACTCCCGTACCCCTGAACAAGCTGCCCAGGCTCCAAGCATCCCACAACCTGCCCTGGCTCTGGGTCCCCATTCACCCCACCCTCTGACCCAGCCTCTGCCCCCTCCCTCCCTCACCACAGGGGCCTCGATCTGCCATACCACACCACTTCCCCTTGACAGACTTCCCTGCTGGGGGGGTGGTGTGCTCAGCCCCCCCAAGTAATATTTTCTCCCTCCACCTATGTCAGTCAGCCCAGCCAGCAGGGGGCCAGACTACTGCCTGCCACCTAGCTGCATGGCTCTGCACTTTCAGCACCCTCTTGCCCCAGCCAGCCCCTCTGCCACCCAACACCACCACCTAGAACCTGGGGTGATCCCCTGTGCTCCTGGCATAAACTGCTCTGCTCCAGCTCAAATTGCAGCTGTCCAGGTACATGTGTAAACACTGCACCTGACTGTAGTTTACTCTGTCTCAAACCACTCTGAATTTTATTGCTTTAAATTAACTGCACATGTAGATGCATCATCGGCATCGGGTTCATCAGCGGCAGGTCCTCTCAGACCAACCTGGTGGCCTTTTACAACCAGGTCACTAAATCATTGGATGCAGGGGTGGCAGTGGATATAGTTTTCCTAGACTTCAGGAAGGCTTTTGATACTGTCTCTCACCCCATTCTCATTAGGAAGCTGGGGGACTGTGGCGTAGACACCCATACAGTCCAATGGGTCGCCAACTGGTTAGAGAGTCGCACCCAGAGGGTGGTAGTGGATGGGTCCTTCTCGACCTGGAAGGACGTGGGAAGTGGGGTCCCACAGGGCTCGGTCCTTGGGCCCGCCCTGTTCAACATCTTCATCAGTGATTTGGATGAGGGGGTGCAAAGCACCCTGTTCAAGTTTGCTGATGACACTAAGATGTGGGGGGATGTGGGCACAATTGAGGGGAGCAACAGGCTACAGTTGGACCTAGATAGGTTACAAGGATGGGCGGAGGAGAATAGGATGGGGTTTAACACAGACAAGTGTAAGGTGATGCACCTGGGGAGGAACAATCGGCACCATACATACAGGCTGGGGAACTCCCCTCTTGTCAGCACGGAGGTGGAAAAGGATCTGGGAGTCATTATTGACTCCAAGATGAACATGAGTCGGCAATGTGGGGAGGCGGCTAGGAAGGCCAACTGCACCTTGTCGTGCATCCACAGATGCATCTCGAGCAGGTCCAAGGAGGTGATCCTCCCCCTCTATGCGGCACTGGTCAGGCCGCAGCTGGAGTACTGCGTCCAGTTCTGGGCGCCGCACTTTAAGAGGGATGTGGACAGCATCGAGAGGGTCCAGAGGAGGGCCACTCGTATGATCAAGGGACAGCAGGGTAGGTCCTATGAGGAAAGGTTGCGGGACCTGAACCTGTTCAGCCTTCAAAAGAGAAGGCTGAGGGGGGATCTTGTGGCCTGTTATAAACTGGTTAGGGGGGATCAGCAGGCGCTGGGGGAGTCCCTGTTCCCCTGAGCGCAGCAAGGAGTGACCAGGAACAACGGTCACAAGCTGGCGGAGGGAAGGTTTAAGTTGGACATCAGGAGGCGCTACTTCACGGTCAGGGCGGCTAGGGTCTGGAACCAGCTTCCAAGTGAGGTGGTGCAGGCTCCCACCCTGGGGGTTTTTAAGAGGAGGTTGGATGACCACCTTACTGGGGTCGTTTGACCCCAGTACTCTCTCCTGCCATGGCAGGGGGTCGGACTAGATGATCTGTTCAGGTCCCTTCCGACCCTAGAAACCATGAAACTATCTAGTGATGTGAAAAATAATCTTAAATCCTGGATCATTTCATAGCTTCAGTTCTGTTCAAATTCTATCCACTGATTTGTGCTTTGTAGCTTCATTATTTATCATGAGTTTAGTGCCTCAGCAGCCTCTCAGCTTCACTTTTAATCCACAGGTTGCTATTGGGTGCATCTGCACATCTCTCTACAGTGATGCAGGAATACGTTACGTTGCTGTATGGTGTGCTGCAGCGGCATTAGCAGTCATGTGGGTCTACACAATTGGCAGCTATGTCACCGTAGAGGCATGCTCCCCCATTTTACTCTGCCACTACAGTGACGTAGCAGCCCACTCTAACCATACTCTTTGTACACAGCTCAATACGGGCAGTTGCTGCACTGTGTTTTAGTATTTCCAAAAAAAAAGTACTGAAGCATGGCACCATAGCAACATCACCCTATGATGGCATGTAGACATGCCCATTGTCATTCAAAAGGTGGCAGATATCATTCTCTATTAGCATATCTTGCATGTCAGCAATGGGGTCTCGTTTAACCAAAAGAGGCAGGATTTCATTTAGTTGTTGTTAGTGAGCTTTTTGTTTCCTACTCATTGAGTAAGAACTTGTAGTAATGCCTATTTAAGTCAATGAGTATAGTCCCATTGATTTTAGTGGAAGTAGATTGAATCTTTAGATTCACTAATTTATCAAGATACTTATTAATTTTACACATATGAGTAGTCCATTCACTTACAGTTAAGCATATAGTTAAGTGCTCTGCTGTAATAGAGCATATGATCCAAGGCTTTTCTTGGTAGCAAGGCAAATAGCATACAATGCAGTAAACCAATAGGAACAAAAATATCTAGAGTAAAGCAATAAGAACACTGTAAATTTTCCCATAACAACTATCAATTTTCTCTTCTGCCTTTTTTAAAATAAGCCATTTAAGACTTTACTCTTCTATAGAAAGAATTACCCAGTCTTTCAAATCACATCTGATATTGTATATATTGAATTCAATGAGAAAACTACTATTTGTGCCAACAAGTGCAGCATCAGGCCTTTAAGTATTATTTAATTAAATCTCAAAATAACCTGGATAATGCAGGTAAGCATTATTCAACCCCTGACACAGAGTGGAAACCAACAATTAATCAATTAATAGCCAACTTTTCAAAATTTACCTTATCTTTTGAACCTTTATACCACAAATGAAATGTTTTGTTTGATCTAAAATTGAAGTTTTCTTTAGAATTTGACCATTTAAAAAGTTTTCTTTTAAGCAAATATGATGGAAGTTTTAAAATCAAAAGCTGATCCAAATAAAAACACTGAAACTTTTCATTTTGAAAATGATCAAATGATCAAATGATAAAATGGTCAAATGTTTTGACTTCTTTTGAAAATGTTTTTGGGTTTTTTTCTTGCAAGAAAAATCCAGAAAAACCAATCTAGCTTTGTGAAATGTTATGGTGTTGCCAAATCTGAATTTTTTTGACAAAAATATTTGTGCTGCAACATATTACCAGATTCCACTTCTATGTTTTACTGTAACACTGAATTTAGAATATTCTTTGCATTGTCCAATAGAATGATGTCAGGTAGCAAAATGTTTTCTAACAGGTAGGACACTGGACTGTGACTCAAGGCTTGGTCTTTGAGTCACAGAAATCCTGTGTGTCCTTGGGGCAATTATTTATTTGCCCTGTGCCTCAACACCATTTTTAAATGTGATTAGTAGTAATACTTTCTTACTTCAGAGGGATGTTGTCAGAATGATGAGTATGAGACACCCAGGCACTACAGTCTAGCAATTGGGTTATGTAAATAGCTTGATAGATGTAACCTGTCAAGAGAGTTGGAGTAGGAAATGATGTAGATGGCAAAAATGGAAGGGAAAATAAATAAGCTAGGTGGTTGCATAGGGGATTGCCTTGTGTAATATTTCTGAGGATACACACACACACACACACACACACACACACACACACACACACACTTTAGATATAATTTATACAACTCACTATAGCCATACACATCTTCATGCTAAACAGTGGGAAAGAACTTGGGGCCTTGTGCTTCAAAACCCAATTTACTTATCAGTACATGAAAATCTCTAGTTTATCTATTGTTATTAGGCAAATATCCTTTTTTGGGACAAAGAGCATGGAAAAGAACCCTTTTAGCAATGTCTTTACTGTATGTCATGACAGTATTTATTTAAATACAGGAGGATAACATTGCATCTGTCTCTCTCTCTCTCTCTCTTTAGCATTGTGTCCTGCACAGAGCAGTGACATATAGGCATAGTGTTTTGAATGCCATCTTTTTTATCCTGTATTTGTACAGTGTGTGACCCAGCACACTGGGATCCTGATTTATGACCAGCTCTCATAATGTTTCTATTAGTATTACTACTACTACTGTTACTACTTCTACTAATAATAAGTCGACTCTTCCAAGATGCAGGACAGGTAAAATTCCATCCAATAGCAATAGCTGCTTTTCTATGCATAGAAATATTAGGATTTTAAAGTCACTTCCCTACAGAACTTTATACCATTGGCTATTCAAATTTGAAATTGTTAAGTGCAGAAAAGCTATTGTAGAACATTTTATGGCTTCTTCTGATACTATTAAACTCATGGCAACTAGGGCACATGGCTTAATAGCCAAGGGGATACGAAAACTTGTTCAAAATATATTAAAAAATGTCTCTAAAACTTCCATAAAATACATTTCTGGATCATGGAATGCATGATGGCCTGCTTGGGTTTTGAGGAGCTTTGTCAATACGCACTTGCAATGACTTGCCCATTTCTATTATGCTTTCACACTTGTGAATCATGTATCCATCACAAATCAAACTTCTACACCGTGCTGCAAGACCATAGGTTCTCATTTTTTTCTTTGGGTGTATTTCTGTAGGTCCACATACACAGAAAGAGAGAGAACTGAATATAGAGAACACCAGACAATGTTATATATGCTATAGTACATGTGATAAGTATTTTTCTATCTGGTCTCTACATCCACATTATGGTAGTGCTTACGAATACCAATCAAGGACCCTATTCTTCTATATACTGCACAGAAAGACAGGAAAGAAGACAGTCACCAGATATTTCCAGCTACCTTACCGACTAGGAGAGGATTAACTATCTATTGGCCAAATATTTTCATTATATTTAAATTTGTGTAAGGATTTAGAATAGGAGCTATGCTTAACATTTAATTATAGGTTGAAATATATAGTTAGAGAAGGGAGCCTATAGGTGTATTTCAAAATGTAAATAAATACGTAAAATACATTAATACAATAAAAACTTAATTTCAGATGCATTTGTTCTGCCTGTTAGCATACCAGATGATTACTTCACTTTCTCACAATTATATGCCTTTTTATTTATACTTTGAGAATATCTGTGAAGAAAAGATCTGTTGAGAGAGCACCATGTTATTATTAACTTGCATTAATTAGTATAATTAATTAGTGTCATTAATACCTTGCATTTATATATGCTTTGCACTTTTAATCCCCAAATAATCATGCAGCCTTAACCAATGACATACAAACATACCCTTCCCAACCAATGGGGTGCAGGTCACTTCTTAAACAAAGCAGCTACTTCTGCATAACAACCCAGACAAAAAAACCCCTATGAAAATAACCAACTCTTGCCACTGCTTCAACTCTACTAAGGCCAATTAACAACTCTTATTCCCTCCAGTGAATGCTGGATTGGGCCTGTAGAACACAGTAACACTGAACAGCCATTCAAGAGAGAAAATGAAGAATTCCAGTTGCATCTATACAGGTATATTTTTAAATGAAGCATAATTATCCTTATGATATTTTCTATTAAAATGATAAAATCTTCTTGGGAAAATCAGTAATTTCACCCACAGTTATAATTGGTTTGCTAGGAGAATCATTGTCAATGAGGAACTTAGAAGAATGTCACCTGCTAAATCAGATAGGTGAGCCATATTAGAGGTTTCCCATGTACATACTGAGCCATGTAAATACTCCAGGTTTACTGAACTTATATGATCTTAGGCTCCAGAGAGGTGAGAGATGTGTGGGTGAAAGCCCGCTGTGCCCCCGCTCCCCCGGAGCCCCCCCAGAGACCCCCCAGCAGCTGCAGAGCCCCCTGCTGACCCCCAGCACAGCTGGAGATAAGCGGGGCCCGTGGGGGGAGGGGGTTAACCCCTTAGTGTATGGAGGAGGTGGCTGAGTGGAGTCGGGCCAGGTCTTGTCCTGCTCAGGCCCCTACTTCGCCCAGCTCCGCAGGGAGGCATGTGAACAGGCTGCACAAACAGGCGTGCTTGTCTGCCAGCGTGTAAGTTAGTGTGGAGTTCGTGTGGGAGGGTGCGCCGGAGGGCCCAAGACCCTGCCTGCGAACCCCCCAGGGTAGACAGTCCCAGCCGTAGCCAGCCTTCCAGAGGCATGACACGGATGGGCACGCGCCACACCCCAAGGGTCCCCTTGGGCTCTGCGGCCCCCCACTCTGGCACCTCAGAGACAGCCACCCAGATGGAGCCCATGGTTTCGGGTTCCACTCAAACAGAGCCTCTGGCTCTTGGCTGCGGGGGCTGCCTGTTGCTTTTTCAAGCTCTGGGGCCCAGGAGCATGGCCACCTCCCCTTGTGGGGTTTGCTCCCTTTTGGGGTCTCTGGTGCGCCAGCTGGAGGAGCTCCAGGCCACAGTCCAGAGACTGTGTGCCATCAGGGACTGTGAGCAGGACATAGACTCCTACTGCCAGGCCCTTCTCCCCTGGGAGCCGGAGGGTAAACCACAGTCTCCTTACAGGACAAGGGAGGACTCTGGGACCTCCCACTCTGTCCAGTCAGGGGCATGGACCAAGGTGGTCAAGGGCCCTAAGGTCCACCGCACCAAGGCCCCTGCCCTGTCGGAGCTTAGCAACCTCTTGCTGCTCCAGCAGAGCCTGC